GGAAGAATCACATTTGAATTATGATGCTAGTGAATATTGAAAGTATCATGGACTGCCAAAAGAACAAATCTCTCTTGGAAGTACAGCCAGAATGCTCCTTAGAAGTGAAGGTGGACTCTGTCTCATGTACTTTGGACAGATTGTCAGAAGAAACGAATTCTTGGAAAAAGGGATTATGCTTGGTAAGGGGGTTGCTTAAAAAGATCTTTGATGAGATGGATTGGCACACTGGCTGCAGCAATGGGCTCAAATATGGGAACAATTGTGAGGATTGTACAGGACCAGGCTGTTTCATTTGACTGGCACAGGGTAGGCAGCTATGATATCTAACAACAACATAGGGAAAGGAACCAGACCCCAGATAAGCAAACCCAACGACAGAACAACCAATTACGAGGTCTCTCACTTCCGGATCACAAACCCTATTCTACAGCCGTGGTGGGCAAAACAGCCCCACACCAGTACAATGATACAGTGACCAAAAAGACAGCATTGAGAACCCACTGTGCTAAATGCATCTTTGCACAGATAACTGATCTTTGAGAAAGGGCCAAAGTAGATTAAAGAGAGAAAAGAGGCAGTTGTTTCAACAAGTGGTGTGGGCCACTCTGCATATCCATTTGTAGAAGAATGAAACAAGATCCATACCTCACTCCATCGACAAATCTCAAGACAGATAAAAATTCTAAATGTAAACCACAGAATTATAAAGATCACCAATGAAAAAAAAAAAAAACAGGGACCGTCTTAAGGATCCTAACATATGGCCTGACTACACTATCAAACAATGGCAGTGTGACACACAAGCAGAAGACAAAATAGATGGCTGAAATCTCCTAAAAATTAGACACTTTAACGCTCATTGAAATATCTCACCTAGAGTAGAGAGAACCCACAGATTAGGAAAATGTTTTTGGCAGTGACCTGACAAGGGACTAAGCTCTAAAATATATGGAAACCTCGCCATCTGAACATAATCAATGAGAGAATGGGCAGAGGGCAGGCAGACACACCAACCTGGCAGCCAACAAACAGGAAGAAATGCTCACGACCATTAGTCACTCTCACTTGCTGCCATCTAGTCAATTCCGACTCACAGGGACCTTATGACGGCCCCTCCCTCTGGGTTCTAAGAGAGTATCAAGCCTCATCTTTCTCCTGAAGAACTAGTGATTTCACAATGCTGACCTATGTGCAAACAACCCACTGTGCCACCAAGAGCCCTTTGTTAGCCATTAGAAAGACAGCAAGCTATTACCTCACCCCAGCATCCATAGCAGTTTACAAACTAGGAAACAAATGCCAGCGTGCCTGCAGACTGGAATGCTCATATACTGCCGATGGGATTGTCAAATGGTGCAAGCAATTGTATATAGTATGATGCTTTCTCATTAAGTTGGGAATAGAAATATCATTATATAGAAATGCTAAATCTCACTTCTTGGTATACATCCTAAAGAAATAAGAGCCACAACAGCATGCCCATGTTGACCACAGCGCTATTCATACCAGCAAAGAGATGAAAACCTAAATGCCCAATAGTGGAAGAATGGACACAGTGGGCTACAAGTGTGGAAAAAACTCAAAATCAGACCAGGCTTACTTGTTAGATGCATAGGGACAACCTACCACCCTTTGAACTCACCTTGTTAGAATAACCTGCCACTGAAGACCAAAATGGCAGCATTTACCCAAGGGCAAAGTTCAAAGGGGAATATAAACAGGAGACACAAAGTGGTAAATGATTATTAGAAAATCACTTGCT